ACAGACAGAGACAGACAGAGAGACAGAAAGCGAGAAATCACCCCCCAATGGGGGTGGCCACACCGCAATCCCTTCTCCCCCATTTTCCTCTCAGGATCTTAGGCAGTGATTTCTCGCTTTCTGTCTCTTTGTCTTTCTGTCGAGCGCATGCGCCCTATAGCAAAAACCTCTCAAAAAAAAAAAAAATCTTCTACAGAATTTTCTATTTTGACTTTTTTCTGTTTAAATATAAAGTGCCATTCCCATTGCTATTTTTGTTTAGATGAATTTGGGGAACATTTACATTTTTACCATGTTGAGTCATACTTTATCTAACAGGATATGTCTCTTCAGTTAGCCTGATAGATAAATTTTGCTTGAAATAGGTTAAAATTTGGGACATCCATAAACCCTATAAGCTTTGGAACAAAGGTAACCCTAGGCTACCCACAATTTCTTTCCGACTATTTTTAATTTCAGTACTCCGTTGAAATGGCAGAGAACCAACTATAGTTGAAGCTGCTAGGTTCTTTCATCTGTGATCACTTTCTTTAAACACTATTGCTATAATGTAAATTATTTCTATGAAATGCATAGGACTCTCATAGGGGATATTCTTAGTCTAACCCTTCTTTCCACTCATTAGTGATCCTGCTGCATAAGTATGTCCTCAGATAAAGACCAAACTCTGTATCTCTGGAAAAACTGTAATTACCACCGGTATCTAGTAGATGTTTAGGAAATTATTTTCTTTATTAGATCTACAACTTCCTCTCTTTGTAGTCTAGCTTACTCTAAATGTGTACTTTCCAGTCTGATTCCCAAATATAATAAAAAATAAATGAGGGGGCCGGCAGGTGGTGTGGTGTTAGGGTGCCAGACTCTTACATGGCTGACCATGGTTCGAGTCCTAGACCTGATAGCTAGCTAGCTTTCTCTCTCTCTCTCTCTCTCTCTCTCTCTCTCTCTCTTTCTCTCGTGTATATGTCCTATAGCAAAATTTTAAAATAATAATAAATAAAAGTAAATAATTCCTTTTTAAAAAAAATGAATAAAAGTAAGTAAAGAAAGAAAGAAGAGTTCCCTAACTTGCTGAGATGGACACAAGTTCAGAGCAGAGCCAGGAGGCAGCCTAAATGTGAAGAGTGATGCAGCAGATCATCTAGAAAATCTTTACAGAATTAGTCTATGTCTAAGTCTTTCCTTTTTCTTTTTAAGAAAAATTCTGAGTTGATCTTAATGCAGACATAATACTTTGACTCCAATCATGAGGGTTGGTGGCAGGGAGAAGAAAATAAAAAATAAAACTATTCCAAAAGAGAAAAAACAGAAATGGGAAGTATATTCATTCTGCTTACTAGAATGTTCTCTCCTGAGGAAGTAGTTCACTTCAAGCTCATAAGCCGAGGCTTTCAAAAGGGGGTACAGGTAAAATGATCTAAGTAATGAAGAGTGCTATGTGCTAATGGAGCCAGCGCTGGCTCTTCTCTGTGTCCTGGCTTGACTTTTTGCTGTACCGTGTCCTTCGCCCTGCTTTTACCTCTATGCTTGTGTCCCAGGGAGTATTCCTATTCTGTGGAGTAGATGCATTTATTGCGGATTACCACTTTCTGGACACAATGTTGATCTTCATGCTGTATGGCTGGTGTGTCGTTCCTCTCATGTATCTTGGAAGTTTCCTGTTCTCTGACAGTACTACTGCCCTCATCAAGCTCACGCTCTTCAACTACTTCTCAACCATTTGCAGTATCATGGCTCACATCATAATACAACACATCGGTAAGTACGTCCCACGACTTTCCCTTTTCCAAGAAAGTACATTAAATAAATGAGGATGAAATTAAGAGTAAAATATTAATTGTTAAGCCCTTAATTTCCAGGAAAATGGAAACCTATGATTTTTGGAAATAGCAAATGTTTATTGAGTGGGTATGTAAGAGAGAGAAGTAGAGGGAGAGAAGAAAAGGGGAAGAGAGAAACATATCCATACAGAAAGTGGGAGGAAGATAGATCTTAGAGAAATACTGTTACCAAAAGTTTTCCCTTGACATCTACAAATTGACAAATCTATTCTACAAATCCATGAACAGATTTAGCAATAACTAGTGTTTTCTCAAGGATCATTTGCTTGTTTGGTAATTTGCTGAGAATGGTTTAATTGTTCTGGGGACTGTTTTGAGGAGGTTCATTACTTTCTAATAACTGAAGTTAATTTATCATATTTTAAATCACAGAACTCCAGATTTCTAACTCCATCACACCATACATGCGTCACATATTAATGGTGCTTCCTAGTTACAATTTTGCAATGAGTTTCAGCAAGTTCTTTGATAACTATGAGAAGAAAAAAGTGTGTGCCAGGCGAATTCACAGAATCTCCTTGAACTGCAGTAAATCATGTGAGTATTCAAGGCTCTTTTAGTCCCTAAATACGATCTAATTCTTTCCAGCCTTCCATGATGATAATATATATGGTAGAATCCTTGATTGAGCTTAATATACAGTATATTCTGGAAGGAAAAATTCTTTCTGGATCAAAATGATTTATATAGGCCCACGAAAAAAATAAATGTAATTGTACTTCACCAAATGATTGCAGGTTGAAATATAATTATTAGGGGGACCAGCGGTTAGCGTAATGGCTGTGTCGCTGGACTCCCATGTAGTCGACCGCAGTTCATGTCCCGGACCCAGTGGCTCGAAACTCATGTCAGTCACATGTGCGTGCATGCCCAAGATCCCGAGAGGAGAATGGAGGAGAAGGGATTGCGGCATGGCCGTCCCCCCTGGGGGGGGTGATTTCTCACTTTCTGTCTCTATGTCTCTCTCTGTCTGGCGAGCGCACGTGCCCTATAGCAAAAAAAACCTCTCCAAAAAAAGAAATATAATTATTAGGTCAAATGGATTATATTTTCTTATAACTTTGAATAATAAAAATTATGTCACATTGTAGTTTGCATATGTGGATGATAAATGTCTCTCTGTTTTTTAAAAACAGATCTAATATTACTTACATATCATGGTCACTAGTTTGAATTAATTTTATTTATTTATTATTTTCAGTAAATGTATAATGTTGGGCAATCATTACCACAGGCCAATATTACAATATTTTTATGATCTGAAAAATATCCCTTTTAACTTTTTCCAGTCATTTATCAACATGCCCAGGCCAGGCTTTTACTAATGTATCTGCTGCTGCTATGGATTTGGTATTTATGGACATTTCATATAAATAAAATCATTTTGTATCTAGATTTCTTTTATTTACAAAAATGTCCTTGAGATTTATCCAGGTCGTAGCATATTTCAGTACTGAGGGGGGTCTTTTGGTTTCTGAATTGTATTCCATTGTTTGGACACATCACATTTTATTTATGTATTCAACAGTTTATAGACATTTATTTGGACAAAAGTTCTTAAGGATGCCTTTTGATGTCCTTCTAAACATAAAAGCTTTGAAGGTTGATGAATTCAAGTTTCCGATTTTTTTTCCTTGTATAGTGTGTTTGTATCATACCTAAAAATCTTACCTAACTCTAGGCAATGAAGAGTTTATCCACTGTCGTCTTCTAGAAGTTTTGTAATATAATCACCTATATTTAGGTAACAACATGATTCGTCCTGGCACAGTCTGTTGAAAAGAGTATCAGTTTCTCAGTGAATTACATTTGCACCTTTGTTAAAAGTGAACTGGCCATAACTATGACATTACTTCTGGAGTATAAATTTTGTCCCATGATCAAATTTTCTATGCTATGCCAATACCACAGTGTTCTGATTCCTGTAACACTGCAGAAAATTTTGAAATTATGAAGTGTAAGTCCACCATCTTCCTTTGTTTATCTTTTTCAAAATAATTTTCATTATTCTGGATCTCTTTACTTTCCCTATATATTTTAGCATTAGCTTCTCATTTGTAGCAAAAACAAAAAAAGCCCATGGAATTTGGATGGAAACGACATTGCTACTACTGATCATTCTGGAAAGCTATGCCAGTTTACAACACTGAGTCATATAATCCATGAATATGAAATGTCTCTTCATTTATTTAGATATTCTTTCATTTTTCCCAAACAATGCTTTTGTAGTAAAAATTTTACCATGAGCTAGGCAGGTATGGATTTCTACTCTCTCCCCACCCCCAATTTTGCTTAATATGTGATGGCAACTTTAGCCAAAGGAGTCTATTCTCTCTTGGTACTAGGAGATCCACAAACACAATGGAACTTGTGGAAATGTCAGATAAACAATCGAGAATATTTTTAAAATTTATTTATTTACAGTCATTCACTGTACATTGATACAATATACAAAATGAGATTTTCCATCAATATACATTGTATATTGGCTCAATCAAAAATATTACCATACATGTTATCATCAACAAATAATTTTCTATTTCTTGTTTTTTATGTATTTTGCCCCCCCTTTATTCTGTACCTCTAACCCTCTGCCAACTCCCCCACTTCTCCCACACTGTCTCTGGTATGTATAGTTGTTTGCCATGCCTTCTTTTTTTCACAGTTTATTAATTCACTAAAGAGCTTAATTAAAGACCTAAAATAGCAAGCACAGCTGATATATACAAATTTATGAACACATGTCTGACTTCTGGTGTAAACCCCAGTGAGTTAAGTGAACATACTATAAAGTAGCACCTCACTGGGACTATATAGCTTACTGCAGTCAGTAAGTAGGTATTAATAGATATTTTTTAATTTCAAAAAAAAATTTAGTTTTAATAGATCAACATAAAAAAAATGTTAGGAGAAATTTGCTTAAAACTTAAAGCCAGGAAAAAAGTTAGGATTCAGTTCAAACAATAGGTAGATGAACCTATCAACAGTTCAAGAGAAGACAAAAATTCTTAAATATGGAAATCAAAGCATCAAAGAAAATCAGTAAGTTTTAGTCTAAAGTAAAAAAATTCTAGTTCAGACTTATGTAATTAATCTCTCTTCTATTGAATTTGCAGTGTTACTATAGTCTGATCTTTCCATTTGAACTCTGGAAGTTAACATTCAACTCCGGACTTGTCTCTACCATTGGGCTGGCCATTCTCTTGGTTGTTTCTTTCTTCCTTTTTTTTTTTTATAATAAGTCATTTAATTAGGTTCTTGGCAAAAAAATTTGTGAGGATAAACTCCATTTGTAAGGGCAAACAAGAATCACAGGTAGCCCTGAAGCTGAGGAACAGCTTTGATTTTTTTGGTAAAATTTGCAAGTCCACAACTTTCTTTTTTTTTTTTTATTTTCTTTTATACATTCAGTCACATTATTATTTGGCTTACAAGATGGATATTTCAACAGGCGGACATTTCTTCTTAGTCCAGTTGATAAAACTACAAAGTATCTTCAATAGGTAATACCACATTTCTTTGTGCCATTAATGCTTTGCCTCCCTATTTTTCTTCTAAATGTCCTTCCTCAGACTCTCCTCTTTCACACACACTATATCTGGTGTTTACATTTATATACTGTTTCTATATCCTTCAGTCAATTAGTTTCAGTCGTAGAGTGCGGATACTTGGTATATATTAAGTGGGGACATACAATGTCTAACTTAAAATTCACTTTTAGGTTTCTTAATATTTGCTGTCATCTTAGACTCTGTATCAGTTTTTAAAGTAAAGCTCTTTTGTTTTGTCATCCTCAGTTATTCAGAACGACATCTACAGTTTTGGAGAATTGGGAATTGCAAAATATTTGGTTACCTTGGCTGCCCTAGGCTTATTTTACTTCCTCTTGCTATTGTTCCTAGAGATCGAATTCTGGAACCTGAAAAACTATGTCTGCCATAACATTATTTTTAATGTCTACAAGGCATTCATACAAGGCAAGAAGGTGAGTAACTAAGATGGACTTTAGGTGCAACTAAAAGAAAGCTCAACATTAGGCCAAATGTTTGAATTTACATATACCCAACTCCATTGCTTGATAAAGAAAATGTTAACCAGGTGTAACAGACCTAACTGGGATTAATTTGATCACAAGTCTCTTTTCTTTGAATTTCAAGGTTCTTAAAAAAAAAAAAAAATTAAAGAATTATTTAATTTAGCTTACTTACTTGCTGTATTTATTTTAATTTGACCAGAAAGGGACAGAGCAAGAACAAGAGAGACAGAGTAAGAGGAAGAAACTGAAAGCAAGCTGCCAGGTCCAGGACTTGAACCACAATTGGCCATGTAGGAGTCCAGCACCCTTAATCACCATGCCACTTGCCAACCCCTGAATTTCAAGGTTCTAAACATCAAGAACTCTGCCTTCAAGGAAATAATCTGTAATTAACTGTGATAGAAAGCATTTGCTTTAAAAAAAAAAAAAAAAAAAAAAAAAAAAAAAGAAAGCAGTCTTAGTCATTGTCTTCAATGTATAGTTGATACTAATTGTGGAACTGACTTCTTTGAAACTATGAGATTGTTGGGCTTCGTTCCCTCTACAAGTCAGATTATTAAGTACTGCTTTATACAGCTCTCATAATTCCACATAATCTCAAGAGTTATGCCTAGAATTTAAAACATTATTTTAGTAGCTCATTTATTCAGTAATTTAATCCCTACTGCTCTGTGCTTGAACATCTGCTAAGAAAAAATCTTTACCTTTCTTTTTTTTAGAGAGATTTTTGCTGTAGGGTATGTGCACTCACCGGAGAGACACAGAGAGACAGGAAGCAAGAAATCACCTTCAAGGGGGATGGCCATACCACAGTCCCTTCTCCATTTTCCTCTCAGGATATTAGGCACATACGCACATGTGCCTGGCATGAATTTTAAGGCTCTGGGTCTGGGACTCAAATCATAGTCATCTACATGGGAATCCAGCAACATAACCATTACCCCATCTGCTGGCCCAAACCATTGCCTTTAAATACACCTGTCTCCTTGTAACTTTTGCTCATCCATTTCCAGTTCTGTCTCTAGATGCTATACCATGAAGGCTCTGGATCTTGGCCATGAGCATCTGTGAGTTTGTGTATCTCTAATATTTCAAAAAGTAGAATATCTACTTCTGTTGTCACCTGGAATTCAGATTAGTATGAATAGCTTTCATGCAGAGTTTTAGTTGCTTGTTATATTGGGTTGTCAGAAAAGTCATGATGCATTTTTGCATAGAAAAACAGAAAAATAACATCATAATTTCTCCGACAACCCAATATGTTACTTATTAACGCCTAGAATACATAATGGGCAAAAAAATCCTGTTCTATCTAATTTTACACCAAGGCCCATACAAACTTTACTACTACAATTAGAAGATATCTGATCCAAGACATGGCAACAAAGAAAAATTCAATTTTTTTTCATTTTAAATTAATTTATTTACATTCATTCATTGTACATCATTACAGTATACAAAATGAGATTTCCCATTGAGAATACACTGTATATTGGCTCAATCAAGGATATTACCATACATGTCATCATCAACAAATAATTTTCCATTTCTTGTTTCTTAAATATTTTGCCTTTTTTCCCCCTTGATTCTCCTATTTCTCACCCTCTGCCATTTCCCACCCTCCTCCCACACTGTCTCTGCTATCTACAGTTGCTTTCCATGCCCCTTTTTGTTGTTTTTTTTCCACATTTTGATTCACTAAATATCTTAATTAATCCAAATACTTTTAATAGCAAGTGCAGATATATACATATTTATGAACACATGTCTAATTTTAGGCATAAACCTCAGTGAGTAGAATGAACATACTACATTATAGTAGCACCTAGCTGGCACTATATAGCTTACTACAGTCATTAAGTATGTATTCTTAATACATTTTTTAATTTCAAGAAAAGCAGTTTTAGTAGATCAAAATTTTAAAATGTTAAGAGAGATTTGCTTAAGACTTAAAGCCAAGAAAAAGGTTAGGATTCAGTTCAAACAGTAGATAGATGAACCTCTCAACAGTTCAAGAGAAGATAAAAATCCTTAAATCTGGAAAACAAAGCATAGAATAAAATGAATAATGTTTTACGGGGACTAGCTTGGCATGAACATGTTTTTCTGAGTGGGGAATGCTGTTCATTAGAAATAGACACAATAACAAACACACCAAGACACACAGATATTGAAAAGCGAGGATTGGGTGGGCACAGTTTCTCTGATGGAGAAGTTGCGACTAGAACCAGCCTCAGGTTTATTCTTTTAAAGGACAAAAAATGGGGGAAGGGGAAAAATGGGATGTAAAAGGAATGGGGAAGAAGGAAGTGGAATGCCAAGGGAATAAGGGAGGAGAAACTAGAATGTAAAGCCAGTTGGTTTTGGATGTAAATCATTTGAGAATGTGAAAATGACTGGCACTATATAATTTATCTGATCTTTTGGGGGGACAATCTGATAAATGCTTGTGATTTCCTTTAGCCTGATACTGGGCAGTATCGAGGTATTGGCTATCAACAATAACAGGAAGACAACCATTGACAACAGGCAGGTACTGCTTTCGTATGTAAATGCTTCTTCATAGCCCTGCTAGAGTAGCTTACAAAAGCACATATCTGCATATGTCTTCAGGCCACATGTTTTAATCACATGTTTTCAAATTGGCTGCTCTCCACAATGTTTTAGTTAAAAGTCATAAAATTCTATTTCACCAGTTCAGTCTCATGTAATTAATCTCTCTTCTATTAAATTTGCAGTGTTACTGTGGTCTGATCTTTCCGTTTAAATTCTGGAAGTTAACCTCCAGACTTGTTCCTATCATTAGGCTGGCCATTTTCTTGGTTGTTTTTTGTACTCTTGTTTCTCTGTATCCATCTTTAGTTTTCCTGGTATAGCATTCCCTTCAGCGCATCTTGGAGAGCTAGCTGGTCTGATGTTGATAAATTCTTTCAGGTTTTTTTTATCTGAAATGTTTTTGGATTTTTTCCCCATATGAAAGATAATCTTGCAGGGTATAGTATTCTTGGTTGAAATTATTTTTCACTTAACACTTTGAGTATATTTTCCCATTCTTTCCTTGCCTGCATTATTTCCAATGAGAGGTCTGATGTTAGCCTGATGGTATATCCTTTGAAAGTAACTTGACATTTCTGTCTTGCCAATTTTATTACCTTGTCTTTGTCTGTGGTTTTGGTCAATCTGGCTATGATGTGCCTTGGAGAAGATCTTCTTGGGTTGATTCTATGTGGGGTCCTTTGTATTTCTTGGGTCTGGATCTTTGCCTCTCTAGGTGTGGAAAGTTTGGAAAGTTTTCTTTGAGGATTATTATTTTCCTCACCTTCTGGGATACCAATTATCTGGATGTTTGGGCATTTAATGGTAATCTAGTATTGTAAGTCCCAAAGATAAATTTATCCAGTAGTGACGCAGAGGAGACAAGACAATGCAACTGTATCAGAGGCGTTTATATTTCTAGCTAGCTGGGGTCCAAGTTAATGCCCAACGCAGCGGGTTACAACAAGGATCCCGAACCTAGGAACGAGGGGCTTTTTATCGCTCAGGAGGCAATACAGGATATTTTCTTGGTTGTTTTTTGTACTCTTATTTCTCTGTATCCGTCTTTAGTTTTCCTGGTATAACTATCTGTTATTGCCCACCTAAATTTAGATAAGAACTCTCAGTTAAGGTAGGTAATCTTCCCGGGCGCCTTCAGGTTTGTTCATCCTGTCGCTGCCAGTCAGACCTGCCCTTCCTCTGTTAACTCATGAATTCCTGTATCCTGTTTGCTGTGAATTCCTGTCTGTTAATTAGTGAATTCCTGTGCCCCATCTTTCGATCCCTGTCTTGGTGGCGAATGCGCTAACAAGGGTGTTTAGGCTGAATTAACCTAAACTAATTTAGCCTACATATGCTAATTACGCTAAATCAGCTTATACTAACTCAGCTTAACGTATGCTAATTCGGCCTAACAGTATAACTTTCTGGTAAATTTTTCTAGGTAAGAGGTTCTATCTTCTACATCTGAGATTGATCTTCTGCATTGTCTAATCTGCTTTTAATACTTTCAAGGGAGGTTTTGATTTCCTGTATTACAGCTTTAATCTTCCTTTTTAATGGTATGTGTTAGGTTTTAATGGTATGTGTTAGGTTTGATTTGGGAGCGGTGGCGAAGTCAGGGTGGCAAAGGCGAAAATACCAGAGTCAGGCTTTGGGGTTTAATAAAACCAACATAATTTATTCTGCACTCTCGGGTGAGGTCCCTTGGCCTTGGCCTGACTCTGGTATTTTCGCCCAGGGTGGGTGCTGCTTGTTCTTAAAGGGCCATTGTCCAATAAGTGGTAACCATGGGTCCTTGGCTGGCCAATGAAGTTTGCTGTTCTGTTCAACTTTGGCGGGCACGCCAAATGCTGAAGGGCAGGAAAGTCCATTGGTGATGGCGGGCCAGGTGTGGACCACAGGAAAGTTCCTGCTGTGGGAATGTTTCCGCCACGTTTCTTTTCCCTCCCCCCAGACCTTACAGTATGTATTTCCTTTTTCAGGTACAAGAACTTCCTCACCTCCTGAAACTTGTCTCTTTTCTCTGCATCATCTGGAGTTTGTTGTCTCTCTTCTCGTGCATCTCTGTTTGCTTTGTCTCTATAAATATTTTAAATTCTTTCTCTGACATTTCCACAAGTTCCTTGTATTGTCCTTGGAGGATGAGGAGTTACTCTTTTCCCTTCAGGGAGAGATATTCTCTCAGTTTCTCATATTTCTTGTCCCTTTGCAGAGGTTTCTGGTCACCTGATGGGTTATTGTTTTTTTCCTTAGTTTTTGCAGGTAAATCTGAGCATTCAGAGGCTGCAATCTCTAAGCAGTACCATTTTTGTGCAGCAGATTCCATGGAAATTGAGGATTACTCTGGCTAGACTGGGTGGGGGGGGCAGGAGATTAAAGTCTGGGCAAAAAATCTTCAGTTGTCCTAGCCC